ATCAATTAGAGAAGAATGAAGAGGTAAATCTTAGTCAAACCTAATAACCTCCAGATCCATAAACAAATAAGAAAATAATGCATAAGATGAAATAGGAGTGATCAATCTTATTGATGTTTGTTATTTTTTCTTTTGTTAATCGATGGAGATGACTGTTTTTCATCCTCCATAGAAGATGACTTTTCCTTCCTTTTGCTAAGTTACAGAGGAGAGGGAAGAGAGAGAAAAAAGTCCACCTTTAATGAAAGAATCCTCCCCTATATATAGCTATGGAATCCTCACTATGGGTCAATACACTTGTGCACCACGTCCGCTTTCGTCGTTCCCTGAGTATCGCTCCTTGTCAAGGCGGGTATTGTGAGTACGGGATTTTGGTGCAAACCATGTCGTCTTCCACTATCTCGTCGCTTGGACGGGATCTCGGTTAGGCCGACTGCAGCGGTCAGATTTTGACCAATACAGTTAGTCCCTCCGTCTACCGGGGTCGTCTCTTGTCGGGCCTAGTAGGCGGATCATGATTGTTACATATCTAAGAGAAATCTGACTGCCTACCCCTTGAGTATGGTCTTCAGATTCTAGCAATGTGACAGCGTCTTCTCGATATCCTTGAACCATTACGATCGTTTCGGAACCTGAACAACGTTTGTCTTGAAGCGTTGTTTATGGTTTCCTGCCATTATGACACACGTTCCCAGGGGGTTGAACCGTTTCATGCCCTGTCAACTTCAATTGGCGACTCTCGGGTTTCGTGCTTGGAAAATTTATGTCTCTTATAAATAGGACTGCACCATTCGATTTGGCACATTTTTTGCCTTTACTAAAGAGAATTTTGCGAATCTTCTTTTCTACCGATACTTCGGATTTTTGACTTTCTCCGGTTAGCCACGAATTTTCGTCTTTCCTTTTGTTTATCCCTTTTCTTTATTAGATTGATTCAAATGGCTGGCGATTCTTCTCGCGCTGACCTGTCTGCCACAACTCCGGCACCGGAAAATGATGTTCTGGCTACTGGAGGGGCAGAAGTGGTAGAAGATGAGGAGGTCCCGTCGGTGGCTGAGATCTTGCCTCGCCCTGGGAAAGCGTGGAGCGATTTCCACAGTCCCGCCGGGGAGGAGCCGAAACCTACTCCCTCCATCATAACTAAGGAGGGGATCACAGAATTGAAGGCTAGGTGGGGAATCCCTCGCCACGTTGAAATACTACCGGCGGTGGGGGACGACATAGTCCATTTTGACCGCCCAGAGTATTGCGCGTTCTATGCCTACCCCTTTATTGTTGGATACACGCTTCCTCTCCCTCTCTTGGTGGTAGATTTCTGCCTCTTTTACGAGGTATGCCCAGCGCAACTTTCGCCGTATCTGTATAAATTGTTCCTCATGCTACTTAAGTTTGCGGAGCTCGCTGGTCGTGAGATCACTTTGGGGCATATGCTCAATATTTTCGCCCATCAACTCATTCGTGGCACGGTGATTCACATATGCCACCGAGGGTCGAAGAGTCTGGTGGTGAAGATGGACGATAGAGCCAACCGTCTCTTCTATGAGAATTACTTTTATGTGTGGACGGAACACCTTGTGGCGGATCCTACGAGGTTCCCTGAGAGATGGAACTTCGCCCGTAAGTTTCTATGCTTTTTGTCGGAATGATGTTTGACTGCTTTCTTTTGGGTAGTACTAAACTGTGTTTTTACAGCGCGTAGCTACCTCCTGCACCTGTTGATGGTATCCGCAAGTGGGTGAGCGACATTCTTCCTCATACGGCGGGTGTCCGTACATGGTCGTCTTTCTATGAGAAATATGGACGCAAGCACCTTACTGGTGAGTAATACCGTCTTTGTTCGCTATTCCTTCTCCTTCCCTTTTTACTTGGTTTCTTATGTGATGTTTGTCGATGCCAGGCAGAGTGCGGAGAGCGAGGGCTCCTCTATTAGCTTTTTGTCAACCTCCCTCGTCCGCTCGTCCTGCCTCGGCATCTACTACCCGACCTTCGTCGAGGGCCGCTTCAGTCGAATCTACGGCTACGGCCGTACACGCGGAGGTTACCCCTCGACCTGAGATTTCAGCCCCTATCGCCTCCCCAGTGAGGAAATCTTCCCGTGCCGAGGAAAGGGAGGGGCCATCAAAGAGGCGGCGAGTAGAGTTCGAAACGGCTCCTTCAGCCGTGATACATTTAGAGGAAGACCTTCCCTTGACGGGATCTGAGGCGGGAGTTAATGACGTTCCGCCTATAGAGACGGTGCCAGCTATTATGTCTGACCTATCGATGGAGATTCCCGCCGGTGTGATTAATCTGCCACCGGCCGTGATGGGAGATCAAATTTCTGAGGTCGCTGCTACTGCTTCGGACGGGCCTTCGTCCTCGATACCTGGTCGTGCTTCTTCCTCGGCCGCAGAAAGGGGAAAGGGTGTCGCGGTCAATGACTACGAATCCGAGTCTGATCTTGATCCTGATGATGTTAGGATGTTTGAGGAGGGTCTTACCCGTTCGGTGGTTCAGGCGGGAGGGTCGTCCCGTATTCTTGAGATTCCGTCGGATATCAACCTTCTGGGAGATTCGGAGGACCTGGTGCCGTAGTTTGACCTCTTGTGCTCCGCCGCCGAGAGCGAGGCTCTTCGGAACGTTCCTGATATTAATTTGATGCACGAAATGGCCGCTATGGGCTTGAGGGTACGTTTCACTTTTCTTTCATGTTCCTTTCGTATTTCTTGCTGGCCTAGCCTTAGCCTGTCTTTTTGTTTTTTCAAACGTATATGGTGGAGATTGAAAATGCTCGCAGGGCTGATACTCGGGCCAAGATATTCCTGACGATGCTGGGGAAATATCGGTGCTATCGCGATAAGTGTCGTGAGATGCACGAGCGGCTGAAGGCGAACCCTGATGCTCGATCCCTCGGCGAGGAGCTGGAGAAGAGGGATCAGCAACTGATGGAGGCTATCCGTAGAAGTATTGCACTCGAGGAGCAACTTCGTGCAAAGGACGAAGAGCTTGAGCTGGGCAAAGGGGTTGCTGCAAAGTGCGAATATCTTCAGGAGAAGCTGAGGTCTATGCAGTCAGAGATGGATCAGAACCTTATCGGGTTCGAGGCGATGAGCGCGAAGTGGATGGGGAAGTTGACCGAGTTGGAGAGAAAAGTTGCCGGTTTGGAAAATATTGAGAGTGCTTGGTCATCGGCTTTGGCGAGGGCTGGGGCTTTAGAGAACACCATCCGCGTCTTCCAATTCGAGCAAGAATCGGAGAGGGCGACGACCACACTGAGGGAAGCTAGGCTTGAGGAGCGCATCGGTGAGATCGACCGAGAGGCACGACCCTAGGGGATCGGGTCGCTGCTCTTGAGGCTGAAAAGGAGCAACTGTTGGCTCAAGTCGAATCCTCCTCCACCGCTGTTCCTCGTCATTTGCACGAGCTTTGGGTTCATGTTGAAGCCCAGCGGGACATCTACAAGAGTTTGTGGGAGGCGGGCAACATTACCGAGGCCGCATATGAAGGAGCACGGGCGAAGGCGCGAGAGGCTCGTGTTAACTGTGGATATGACTCTGCAACGTCGGAAGCTGATGAGGGTGCGGGTGATGAGGGAGGGTCTCCTAGAGATGGTGCCGAGTGAAAGAATTGCTATCTTTGTTCTTTTTTTTCTTTTTATTGTTGTTTATTGTTCTTTTCTTGGACTTCGTTGGTTTTAGCTGTAGGTAATTTGCGGCTGTTTGCACAGTAGCTTTGTATGAAGAGGCTTTTTCGTTATTACATGTCTTCTGTACTCCTCTTCCTGTTTTTCTCTTCGTAATTTTGATGCAAAGTAGATTTCTGCATGCTGACCTCCCGCTTCTTAGGGGACTTCAAGGTCACTCGGGTTGAGTAGAGCCTTGGTGACGGCTTTAGCCGACGGGACGGTGCTTGTCGATCACCTTGTGTCGAGATACTAATCTATCAACGCCCGAATGGTATCGGATTCCTTTTCTAATAGCGGCCTTAGCCGTAGGGATTTTATTTTCGAGCTTATATCAAAGTATCATCTCGTCGCGAGTCCCAGTTTTCTTCGGCGATGGCTTTCGGTCTTGGGGGTATCACTTCGAATTCTCGTCGAAATGATGACATGTCGTTGTTCGATCGAGGTCGAACTCTTGTTTTTGACGGAGGCCCTTGGCCTTAAGGGTGTTATTTCGAGCTTTCGTCGAAATATTAACCTGTCGTTGTTCGATCGAGGTTGAACTCTTCTTTTTAGCTGAGGCCCTTGGCCTTAAGGGTGTGATTTCGAGCTTTCGTCGAAATATTAACCCGTCGTTGTTTGATCGAGGTCGAACTCTGCTTTTTGGCGGAGGCCCTTGGCCTTAAGGGTGTTATTTCGAGCTTTCGTCGAAATATTTACCCGTTGTTGTTCGATCGAGGTCGAACTCTGCTTTTTGGCGAAGGACCTTGGCCTTAAGGGTGTTATTTCGAGCTTTCGTTGAAATATTAACCCGTCGTTGTTCGTGTTATACCCCATTTTAACAAGGGTCAAATCTAGAGTATAACTATTGATAAATCTAAGGTTTTAATTAATTAAAGAGAGTCGCCACCTAATTATGTTAATGGTGAATTAGGCCACCAATTTTAACTAAGTAATCTTAAAGTAACTCCATTTTTATGGTCTATTAACCTTAGAAATTCTAGGTAAGGGTTCTAACTATCTCAAAAGGAAGGGGTAAGGCACCTTTTAAGATCCATTAAAAATGGTTAACCGGCCAAACTTAGGTTAATTAATGGCTAAAAAAAAAGTGTGAGACCAACATAAAATCACTAATGTGGAGTGGTTAAAATCTTATATAGTGATTGAAAAAAAAAAAAAGGTAACTTAAAAGGGATCTCAATGCCTTCATGTGTACTTTCAGAAAAATACTCAACTAGACTTAAACATCTTGTGCTTACTTAACGCCTTTAGAAAAGATTTTAATGAAAGGTTTTTTTAAAAGCATTATTTTTTAAAAGAGAACGGATTCCAAATTCTTATATCTGAAGCCTATATGTTATGTGATTAAAATTACTAAATCGATTATAAGAAACAAGTATAACTAAATACAACCATGCTGATATGAATTCTAACATATATTCTCAAAATAAAAAATGAAATTAAATCACACGTGTAGTTAAATCGCATGAATGATAATGAATAGAAAAGAAGGACACCATAGGTGTCCCCAAGCGTTTCGCTTGTTTTCTTGCTATCCTGTGTATCTATAGGAATATGAGATATGATGATTCCATGCTCGGGTAATGCTGAGTCTGGGGTGAGACTCCATTTTTGCTCCAAGTGTATATGCAAAAGGAAAGAAGAGGAAAATTAGAGTCGAATATTCAATACAAGAATGAAGCACGCAAGACAAGAGTATAACTATTTTCTTCACTCTGCAATAGACAAGAAACCCAAGACCAATAGCAAATCATATACGAACAGATTTCCAAACTGGAGCACTATGTTAACATATCTTTTAAAAGAGCAATGCTCCAGCAAACAGGAGGTGTTTCTTACTTTTACAAAAGCTATTTAAATTAGCACATATAAGATACCAACTTCTAATAGCAAAAATATAGGTGGTTACTAGTATTTATTATCAGATAAAGGCACGTGTATTTTTAACAAAAAGTTTTAAGTCCTAGGGGGACATGATGTCTAAAGAAAAAGTTTAGCAGTAGATAGGCTTAAGTTTATAAAATTCAAATTTCATCTTAGTGTCATGACAAAAATACTTATATTCAATAATGAAGGTTCTAAAAACTACAACAAGTTCTGATTTAATTGTCATCAAGCAATAAGTCAAAGTTTTAGCCCAATAGGCATGAATTCTAACAAATCTCTTTTAGAGCATTCGCATCTATATCTTCCTTTTTGTCTCACGTTTTAACCTGTACCCGCTTTGCAAAAAAAATTGCAAGCGTACCCGCTTTTTCGCATAACTTCAGCATAAGGGGCTGAAGTAGCAAAGACAATCACGCAAAACTTCAGCATTTTAGTAGCCTGGCCTGAAGCTCTTCAGCTCTAGAGCTGAAGTTATCAAACTATGTGCACCTGGCAATTTTAGGTATTTCTCGTTTGCCAACAAAATATGAAAATATTCATAAAACTACTACAAGAAGATGAATACAGATACTATCTGACTTTAATTAGCTTACTTCAAAGGATAACACGCAGTAGTCAGAAGCTGGAGGGAAGAAAATTAATGCCAATAAATTACCATATGCACAGTTGCAGCAACTACAGAAAGTAACCTATCGTAGAAAGCAGCTATTAAAGACAAAACTTCAGCTTTAGAGCTGAAGTTTTTGTGTTGTAACTGAGAAACTTCAGCTCTGGGAGCTGAAGTTTTTGTGTTGTAACTGGAAACTTCAACTCTAGAGCTGAAGTTTTTGTAAGCTTGGATAAAATTCTCCTCTTTGGGTTACCGAATTCAGTAATTTCACATGCGCAATAGATTTTTTTTCTCAAGTAATTAGGAAAGTTCTTTTCATTCTTTTATCAAACATCAATTGACATAATTTGATAGACGATTCATTGGACAGATTTAAATGAACGAAATTCGTAAAAAACGTATAGAAAGCTTATTTGAACGTTCATGAAAGACCAGTCGCAAAATTTTTATAAATGACGTCAACATATAGTTAAGAAAGAACATAGCCAAGAACACTGGACTTGCAGGAGGAGAAGAAGGAGGAGAAAGGGAGCTGAAGTTATTTAAGAAGTGGGTACAAGTTAAAAGATTTTAAAAAAATGAGTATAGGTTAAATGAGGGCGACCAAATAGAGCGCCCCGTGCAATTTTTACGAAAAAAAACTTGAAAGTTTTAACTTCTAAAACAGAATACTACCCTTCTCTTTTACACAACACTTGAGATGAGCAAAAGTGATAGATTTAAACTTATATTCATGAGTCATGTGGATTAGATTTTGCCTTTAAAAAATTCAAGAACAAAATATGAATTTTTTATTTAAAAGCTATGACATGAGCATGGTATCTAAATACAAATTAAATATAACTATGTTAGCTTCTTAGAATATTAGATCCAAATCAGAATGTCCTATGCTCATGACACTTATAAAATAAGGGAAATATAATAAACTAAAGCTAATATGCAAATAAAATAGAATAAAATAGACTTTTCACGTAAACATTTGGTCAAGATATTAATGGGTCATATTTCGAATTATAGGTCTAGAACGCAAGTTTTCTTAAGGACATAATCTCTAGCTTAAAACTCCAGAACATGATTTCTCATAAATTTCAAGACACAGAAATATATATAAACTGAATATATACAATGCCTATTAACATACTTTCGACGACATCAAATTTAAAAGGGGCTATAGCTCGAAATTACTAACTTTTTTGTGGGCAGTGAACGGGGCGTTTTGCAACTGCTGTTCGAATCTCCGACTCGAGCCTCTTTTACGAATAACTCGACCAGAACAGTAAAAGAATATCTTTTGTTTTGGGGTAAAAGGAGCGGCTCGGAGCTTCTAGTTTTGGGGTAAAAGGCACGGCTGAAGTCCCTCTCTAATGGCTGCAATGGCTTGGTATTTATAGGCGGATTCTAGGGTTCTTTGGGAGGAATTTTTACCTCTAACGTTTGAAATTAAGAGCGTGGGGGTTTTGAACGGTAAAATAGTCGTTCATCATTTAATGAGCGAGATTTGAGCAGATTTGTCTCTGATTTGCCTTGAGACTTTGAGCAGATTTATTTCAAATTAATATCCAAAATGGTTGGTATGTTGTGCAGAAAGAAAAAGAAAAAAATGGAGAAACTTCATGTGAGCAAAGAGAGAGAAAAGATCTGCAAATTTAGACTTCTTGGCACTGGATTTGAGGCGAGAATTCATGAAAATTTGAAATCCAAAAGAGAGATATTTTGGTGGAAATTTTGGTAATTTTGAATTTAAAAAAAAAAAAATTGAAACGGTAGTGCTACCATTCTACCGAAGCTTCACCAAATGGTGTGACATAATATCTGCCATAGAAATTCAAAGTAGGCAAGATTATGTTAATTGAAAAGAAGACAATATGATTTGGAAAGTCAAAAAGTGTTTGTGAGGAAAGGGATAGCTTTACACGTGAAGAGGAAGAGGGCTATTCTTTTGGCTACATTTAATGAGGGTACTGTTTATAAATAGAATTGTATTTATGGTGAATGTCAATATTTAGAGAGATTCTAGGGTTTATTGCTTGGTGGTTAAGTCACCCTCTCCCTATAAATACAGAGTTCTATTCTATTGTAATTCATCCCAAATCAATAAGAATCTTCTCCCTCTACTTTTCTTTGCAATACTCTTCTTCTTCTTTTATTATTTTATAATACGTTATCAGCACGACACTCTAACCAATTGAGTAGAAGCTTTGTGATTGAGCATAATGATTGTCAATTATTCCATGAACTTCCTTCATGATTAAATTCTGGATTTAAGGTAAGTATTTTACCGTATTTTTCTCTTTTATTCTATACTTTGATTTTAAATACAAGCAAAGACAACAAAGTTTGATTATAACTCTAATGGAGTTTGTAAGAAATTATAACCACCTGAAGTGGTAAAAATTTCTATGTCTTGCCATGATCAAATTCATGTATGATTATGGGCACAAAAAGTGGAAACCCGTCCCATTGAATTTGCTCCATTCTCATTCCCTTAAGAGAATGTGATAGCAGTATGTGATAAGTCTGAGAGAAGACAAAATTATTACTATGAATGTATCAATGGATGTGGACGTGGCAATAGACGAAATTATGATCGCCATCATTGTGATAATGAGAATAATAAGGATTCTCAAAATAATCCTTCACTCTATGAAAGTAATATTTGTCATCGATTTGATATGAGATTTTATAAAGCACATATAGATGATTATGGTCCATTCATGATGTGAATGTGACAACATCTGATTTATGAATACATATTCATTCATCAAAGAATATGAACGTGCTAGTGGTAGTGAATATACCGCACTCACCTCTAAAAGAAGGTTTGAGATGATATAAGAAAATAATGTCATTATTATGGCATGAATGGTCATTGGTCATGTACCTATTGTACGCCAAAATATTTTGGAATTGTGATTGTTAAAAGACAACGGTAATGCAAGAAACAGATCTTGTTTATAATTTTGACCATAACCATAATGGTATAACTTTCTATTTAAAAGAGATATTCACCATATGGATGTTGATAAATATGTGGTAGTACCAAATTAATTGAGAGCTCTGGAAGAGTCAATTATTACTATTTTGGAGAAACACAATTGATTACCAATAAGGTATTGTGTTGTAGTAAGTCTCAAAGAAACTTATTCAGTTTCCAAAGTATACGCGAAAGCGATTGATTATATTGAGACTATAAATAAAGGAAAGATTTAATATCTTCTATTACTACAACTTGTAGCGGGGTAATATGTATGTGAAAAGCTACCGTTTATCTCAATTTGTACTACATAACAAAGAATATCACAATGAAGTGGATATTTATTGATATAAAAACCCATATCATAATAAACTTGAAGTTTATTCATAATTGCACACATCATGGTGTAAACCTGAAGTTTATCAATATTGATAATTTATTCAGTTGGCACAATTGGTTTACCCATATCAATTTAAGTATGATGTGCAAAACTAAAAGAGAATTCACATGGGTAAATATTAAAGAACTAGAAAATTCTTTACGAATTATCTTACATTGCTTGTTCTCATTAATTAATAGACCAATTAAAATTGGGATTGAATCCCATGAATGCTGGAAATATCAAAGGTGAATATGGGCCCATTCACCTGCCATGTATACCCCATAAAATGCATCTATGAGATGGTTACATGTGCGATTATTATTAACCCGCAACTTGGTGTTTGCGAGGTAGCTTGCTCAATAATTTAATTTCGAGCATAATTTCCAGATTTTTTATTCTAAGAAGTTCATCTTGATAAGTTGGTTTACATCACAGTTGGTTTAGCAAAATNAAACAAATAAGAAAATAATGCATAAGATGAAATAGGAGTGATCAATCTTATTGATGTTTGTATTTTTTCTTTGTTAATCGATGGAGATGACTGTTTTTCATCCTCCATAGAAGATGACTTTTCCTCCTTTTGCTAAGTTACAGAGGAGAGGGAAGAGAGAGAAAAAAGTCCCCCTTTAATGAAAGACTCCTCCCCTATATATAGCTATGGAATCCTCACTATGGGTCAATACACTTGTGCACCACGTCCGCTTTCGTCGTTCCCTGAGTATCGCTCCTTGTCAAGGCGGGTATTGTGAGTACGGTATTTTGGTGCAAACCATGTCGTCTTCCACTATCTCGTCGCTTGGACGGGATCTCGGTTAGGCCGATTGCAGCGGTCAGATTTTGACCAATAGAGTTAGTCCCTCCGTCTACCGGGGTCGTCTCTTGTCGGGCTTGGTAGGCGGATCATGATTGTTACATATCTAAGAGAAATCTAACTGCCTACCCCTTGAGTATGGTCTTCAGATTCTAGCAATGTGACAGCGTCTTTTCGATATCCTTGAACCATTACGGTCGTTTCGGAACCTGAACATCGTTTGTCTTGAAGCGTTGTTTATGGTTTCCTGCTATTATGACACACGTTCCCAGGGGGTTGAACCATTTCATGCCCTATCAACTTCAATTGGCGACTCTCGGGTTTCGTGCTTGGAAAATTTATGTCAATTTTCTTTTCTACCGATACTTCGGATTTTTGACTTTCTCCGGTTAGCCACGAATTTTCGTCTTTCCTTTTCTTTATCCCTTTTCTTTATTAGATTGATTCAAATGGCTGGCGATTCTTCTCGCGCTGACTTGTCTGCCACAACTCCGCCACCGGAAAATGATGTTCTGGCTACTGGAGGGACAGAAGTGGTAGAAGATGAGGAGGTCCCGTCGGTGGCTGAGATCTTGCCTCGCCCTGGGAAAGCGTGGAGCGATTTCCACAGTCCCGCCGGGGAGGAGCCGGAACCTGCTCCCTCCATCATAACTGAGGAGGGGATCACAGAATTGAAGGCTAGGTGGGGAATCCCTCGCCACGTTGAAATACTACCGGCAGTGGGGGACGACATAGTCCATTTTGACCGCCCAGGGTATTGCGCGTTCTATGCCTACCCTTTTATTGTTGGATACACGGTTTCCTCTCCCTCTCTTGGTGGTAGATTTCTGCCGCTTTTACGAGGTATGCCCAGCGCAACTTTCGCCGTATCTGTATAAATTGTTNGAACTCTGCTTTTTGGCGGAGACCCTTGGCCTTAAGGGTGTTATTTCGAGCTTTCGTCGAAATATTAATCCGTCGTTGTTCGATCGAGGTCGAACTCTGCTTTTTGGCGGAGGCCCTTGGACTTAAGGGTGTGATTTTGAGCATTTGTCGAAATATTAACCCGTTGTTGTTTGATCGAGGTCGAACTCTACTTTTTGGCAGAGTCCCTTGGCCTTAAGGGTGTTATTTCGAGCTTTCGTCGAAATATTAACCCGTCGTTGTTCGATCGAGGTCGAACTCTGGTTTTTGGCGGAGGCCCTTGGCCTTAAGGGTGTGATTTCGAGCTTTCATCGAAATATTAATCCGTTGTTGTTCGATCGAGGTCGAACTCTGCTTTTTGGCGGAGGCCATTGGCCTTAAGGGTGTGATTTCGAGCTTTCATCAAAATATTAACTCGTCGTTGTTCGATCGAGGTCGAACTCTACTTTTGGCGGAGGCCCTTGGCCTTAAGGGTGTGATTTCGAGCTTTCGTCGAAATATTAACCCGTTATTGTTCGATCGAGGTCGAATTCTGCTTTTTGGCGGAGGCCCTTGGCCTTAAGGGTGTGATTTCAAGCTTTCGTCGAAATATTAACCCGTCGTTTCACTGTCAGATTTTGGAGAACCGCAGGTAGCCGTACTGTTCGTGCATATGTCGGGGTGAATCCTAGCGTACTCAATTTTGTTTTTACTGGAGAATATTGGGCTCACTTGCCCTTGTGACTTGTTTTCTTCGTAGAACTGTAAAGCATGAGCCAACAATAATAGGCACTTCTCCTGATACCGCTTTTCAGATGATATCTCTTCCAAAGCTTTACATATTACTGGCCGAATCTCTTCTTCTAGAATGTGTACCAATAACAATCAAGTACGTCCATATAAAGTTGCTAAGCCATAAAAGAAAGTCGTAGCCTGAGTACGACTAAAAAAGATGGAAAATTGAATCAGCAGTGAAAGTGAGAATATAACCATGCACATTCGCTAGCTGGACAAGATATTACTGACAAACAACATGTGTTTTCCATGTAAGTTACTTCCCCGAATAGGAAATGCAGCTAACCATAAGGAAGCTAAGATTCACAACTATAAGCCTCTAACAAGACAATGTTTAAAACCTGTAGTAACGGAAGCAAGAATTGAACCAAGAAAACTATGGCAGAAAATATCATAACTCGAACCAAAAAAGAATGGAGTCCCATTTTTGCTTAGCTTCTGCTTTTCTCGGGTGAGTCCTAGTTTGCTTAATTTTGCTTGCGTTGGGGAGCGTGATATCGGAGAGCAGGAAACGTTGTTGCTTTGCTCACACTCATTTCACACACATATTGGAGTTTTCCTGTCTAACCTTTTCGTTCTCCGATCTTGAGATGTCATTGGTGGATGGGACGATGAATTACGCTTTGACCTCGGGGGGTTCCTCCTCATCGGCCCGATCTTTAAGTCCCCAGGAAGGCTTTCTTGGGACACCTTTTTGGTGAGGGAGAGGAAGTATCATTTGAAGGGTATCACTTCCGAGGCGTCGGGTTCGTCTGGTGGACGATATTTCGATGGTTCCGTTATAATTTCCCAAGATTCAGTTGGGATGTTTCCTTGCTTGCTCGCCCGTGCTGCGCTTGCGTTCTTGTTTGGGCAACCAGCAGAAGGTGGGTTAGGATGATATCCTCCTTATCTCGATTTGATGAGTTGGTGAACGAAGGTGGATCGGTGGCGTTACTTGCTCTGCTTGGCGCTTCGATAGTTGACGGGGATGGTGTTTTCTGAGTTTGGTAACCGTATTCGGTTCTCTTTCCCTTCCTTTTTGTGCCTTTGTCCTGTGCGGGCCAGGCTTGTTTGGACTAGTTCATGGGT